GTCAGACTGACTTGACATGGGTCAAGTCAGACCAACCAGCTGCGACAGTTCACATCAGTCAGGATATTCCTACCATCAGTCTATCTAGTTCAGGCTCTCAGACTGAGATTCAGGCTGAGAATCAATCTCAAACATCAGTCAATCAACCAGTCATTGTCAAATTGTCAAATAAAGAAAAAAAGAAATTAAAGAAAAAACAACTACCAATCGTCCCTTCACCTTCAGAGGTTCCTTTACAGAACTCTTTTGGGCCTCTGGACATGGAGGTTACTCTGTCCTCACAGGACAGGCGGAGGAGTAGTTCCTCCTCACATTCACGCGAGCGATCTCCAATTGAGCCACCATGACTCAATTGTCTAATATAATGCAATGGAATTGCAGAGGACTTAGGCATAATTTTCATGAACTGCAGTTATTAACAAGTGATTTAAATACATCAGCAATTTCTTTACAAGAGACGTACCTTAAAAATACAGATAAGTTTGATTTAAAGCACTATAGTTCATATCATTCCTTCTCTCCTCCAGGAGATAAAGCTACTGGAGGTGCTTCTATTTTAGTGCGGCGGGGCGTTGTTCACAGTCCTGTTCCGCTTGACTCGACTCTGCAAGCAGTTGCAGTTAGACTAACACTGCATATTGCCTTCACACTTTGCTCCTTATACATTCCTCCATCTTCGAATCTTCAGCGTAATGATCTACAAAAACTATACGACCAGCTCCCAAAGCCCTGTGTCATCATGGGTGATCTAAATGGGCATAATCCTTTATGGGGAAGTTCCACCATTAATCAAAAGGGAAAAGTGATTGAGGATTTTGTTTCTGATAATGACCTTTGCATCTTTAATGATGACTCCGACACTTACTTACACCCTGCAACTGGTACGTATTCATCATTAGATCTGTCTTTGACGGATTCAGTTTTGTTAAATGAATTCTCATGGTCCGTCCATGATGACCTATGTGGGAGTGACCATTTCCCCACGGTGCTTAAGCCCATTAATCCCGCTGTTGATCCACCTTCACCTCGATGGAATTTTGTGAAGGCTGATTGGCTTTTATTTCAATCTTTATGCAAAGATAAATTACAACCTACTTCTTTTCAGAATGTTACTGACCCAATTCAGTTGTTTTCAGATCAACTGAATGAAATTGCTAATGAATCCATACCTAAGTCCTCTGTCAACCCACGTGTTCGTAAACCATGGTTTGATGCTAATTGCAAACAAGCTAGGAAATGTCGTAAGAAGGCGGAGAAGTACTTCCGTAAACATCCCACTGTCCATAATTTAAATACTGTTAAAATTTCAAATGCCAAGGCAAGACGTCTATTTAAGCAAAATAAACGTCAATCCTGGCAGACATATGTCTCCAAAATTAACTCCCGTACCCCTATGTCCAAGGTATGGAACATGATCAAAAAGATCAAAGGCAAGGGATCAAATTCTACAGTTAACCATCTGAAGGATGGCGATACTTTGTTAACTGATAAATCTGCCATTGCCAATAGCATTGGTGAAACTTTATCTCATCATTCTTCTTCAACTAATTACGCTCCTGTATTTCAAAAATATCAGCTCCAACAGGAGAAGAAAAAAGTAAATTTTACATCTGATAATGGTGAAGATTACAATGAGGTATTTTCACTACATGAGCTATATACTGCCTTAGGGCAAGCTCATGATACAGCAGCAGGCGCTGATAATATTCATTATCAGCTGCTGAAACACTTGCCCGAATCATGCCTTGAAACTATGTTAAATATATTCGATGATATTTGGACATCTGGGACGTTTCCAACTTCATGGCATAATGCCATTGTTATACCAATACCCAAACCTGGGCGGGATCATTCTGATCCATCAAATTACCGACCTATATCTCTCACTAGCTGCGTTTGTAAAACTATGGAACGCATGGTAAATAATCGATTAGTGTGGTACTTGGAAACAAATAATCTTCTTACCAATATACAATGCGGTTTCCGGAAGAACAGAAGTACTATCGATCACTTAGTGAGTTTAGAATGATTCGTTAAAAATTCCATTGTAAATAGACAACATGCTGTATCGATCTTTTCGATTTAGAAAAAGCATACGATACAACATGGAAACATGGTATTTTAAAAGATCTTCACGATTTTGGATTACGAGGCCGTCTGCCTCATTTTATATCCCAGTTTTTAACAGACAGGCAATTTCAAGTCCGAGTGGGTACAACCCTGTCTGATCATTATAATCAGGATCAGGGTGTCCCACAAGGCAGTATTTTGTCTGTCACTTTATTCAGTATAAAAATTAACAGTTTGTCAAAAGTTTTAAATGATTCAGTTGATGGATCACTTTTTGTGGATGATTTTAATCTATCTTGCCGGGGTAAAAATATGCACACAATTGAAAGGCAATTACAATTATGTCTTAATAAAATTAACAAGTGGTGTCTAGAAAACGGGTTTAAATTTTCCAAATCAAAAACTAATTGCATACATTTCTGCCGAAAATATAAACCGCATAAGGACCCTGAACTATTTCTGAATGGCTCCCCTATCAAAGTTGTTAAGGAAGCCAAGTTCTTGGGACTTATTTTTGATCATCACTTAACTTTCCTCCCGCATATTAAATACCTAAAAGCTAAATGCCTGAAGGCACTCGATCTATTGAAAGTTGTTTCTAATTCAAAGTGGGGAGGGGATCAAACAACCCTCTTACACTTATACAGGTCACTCATCCGTTCAAAACTTGATTATGGCTCCATCGTCTATGGTGGAGCCTGTAAAAGTAATTTAAAAAACTTGATACGATACATCATCAGGGCCTGAGGCTTTGCCTTGGTGCCTTCAGGACGTCTCCAATTCACAGTCTATATGTAGAAGCGGATGAACCTTCTCTTAAACACCGCCGTCTAAAATTATCTTTACAATATGTCACTAAATTATATTCTAATCAGTCCAATCCAGCTTTTAATTGCGTCTTCAATCCTCTTTACCAAGATATTTACAATAAAAAGTCATCTCTTGTTCCACCACTCGGAATCAGAATCCAGTCTGCCTTGTTTGCTTCCAATATTCAACTGCAAGATATAGCTCCAACTCAACTGTTTTCAACACCTCCTTGGCAAATGGTACGGCCAGAGGTTGACCTTACATTAACAAAATTAAAGAAATCAGCTACAAACCAATTAATTTACCAACAAGAATACCTTCAACTAAGAAACACTTACGACACTTATAAATCTATATTTACAGATGGATCCAAGGATGGTGGCGCAGTTGCTAGTGCCACCGTCATTGGATCCAGAACAATATCTTCACGTTTACCTGATAACAGTTCCATATTCACTGCAGAAGCAAACGCCATTTTTACAGCACTTAAATATATCAGTAATCAAGCTAAACATAAACAATTCATACTGTTTTCAGATTCTCTTTCATGCCTTCAGGCGATCAAAAATATGTCATCCAAACATCCACTTTTAATCGAAATTCTCGAATTATTTAATGATCTTGCTACTGGCCAATATGACATCGTCTTTTGTTGGTTACCAAGCCATGTTGGTATCATTGGTAACACAATGGCTGATGCTGCTGCAAAAGCAGCACTCAACAAATCTGTGACACCACTTCTGATCCCATACACTGATTTTAAACCCATGATTCGATCTTACATCAGAGATCTTATGCAACAGAAGTGGGACACCCAAGTAGGTATCAATAAATTATATGAAATTAAACCAAATATCAGTTACACCTACTTGGGCTGTCAGTCCAGATTTGAAGAGGTCATTATGCGACGATGTCGTATTGGCCATTCAAGATATACAAATGAATATCTTTTAAAAGGTGAGGATCCTCCGTTTTGCATCCCTTGTGATGAAAGAATCACAGTCAAGCATGTCCTGCTTGATTGTATTGATTTTTCCATCACAAGGGATAAATATTATAGTGTCAAAACAGTCAAGGACCTTTTTAGTCAAGTTAATTCTCATTTAGTATTGCACTTTTTAAAGGAAATTGATTTAATACATAAATTTTGATGTACATAATATGTTTTTATATATTGGTAGTGCTAATATATAACTTAGATTGTTAGTGGCTGTACCCTCGAGGGGGGTTGAAGTAGCGTAAAATTATTGTCCCCCTAAGAGGGTATGTAAGTCCCACATCATTCAATGTATTGTTATGCATACCAGAATTTTAAAACGTAGTATTTTTGTCATTTTAATCTAAGGCTTAACTGGTCAACTTTCGCCAGTGACTGAAGGACTGATATAAATCCAGCCAGGGTCCATGCAGGAAGCAAAGGCACTGTAAGTCCCCATGGTCCCAGGTATGGTGTTCTCCCTTTAGTTACTGACGATCTCTAGCCCATTTTTATATTGTGTTGTTAATTCTTTCTGCTTTTATATGTTCCTCAACTAGTTTTAATACACTCTGTGATATTCTAGTTATTGTACTGTCCTTTGCTGACAGGTTTTTTATAAATTATATATACTTATTTGTTATTAATGTATTAATTCTCGTCACGATATGGCTGAAATATTGCCGATGTGACGTTAAATATTAACTCACTCACTCACTCACTCAAATTATAAAATCATTTTCTGGACACATACAACCTATGTAACGCGCGACACATCAATAAACAAGCTCTCTCTTGTCTCGCACATCAAGCATTCCACAGCTGCACCTCCTTCCATCATATCCAACATCACTTTATACGTGGGCTACAGCAGAAGAGTGAGCGACTTGAATCTAAACACGAAGGGGCTCTCAAATGCCACATGCCAATTTCTTTTGTTACTGAAGCTTTGAAACCGGTTAAATGTCGCAGCCACTATAAATTTGACGACGAGCAACAAGTTGAGCGATTGTCGAGTTTCCACGGGCAGATACAATAGCTGATCTGATTGGTTGTGTAAAATCTGCATCAGCCAATGGAAATCCTCGATTGGCAAGTATATCTTTCCAAGCCTGGGTATTTTATTCATCACTTTATTTGTGTGCAGACGTATAAGTGATATGCTTGAGAGTTGCTGTCTGAGTAGCGCTACATAACTTCCACGTCATTGATTTCTCCGTGTGTGGAATACACTTTTCAACCTGTACTCCGAGTAAGGGAACTCGCGTCCTGGTTGGGGTGAGTACTTTACGCAACTGTTCCTTGTGACTATTGCTTACTCGATGCATTGGGTGTTCGTCATCACTCGCGCCCTTCCAAATCGTATATATAAATCTTACTCCACTTATTTAATTATTAGTATATCTTACTCCACTTATTCAATAATTACTAAATCTTACTCCACTTATTTAATATATATATATATATATATATATATATATATATATATATATATATATATATATATATAGGGTAGGGAGTCGGGTTTGCTTAGGGCATATATTGTCGCCGGGCACATATTACCGCTGGCGACAATATATGCAAACGTTCACGGGGCACATATTGTCGCTAATCGACAACTATTGTCGCCAATCGCCACAAGACGATATATGCAAAGGGTGCAGTGATTTAAAAGGCCTTAGATATGATAGACCTTTTGATGATCCATTATGAGGATGCGTTACATTAAAAGGCCTGTCACACTTAGCCTGTCTCGGACGCGGGAGCTATACCGCAGCACAAATTTGGCGATTTTGGGGGACGGTACCAGTACGGCTGCGCAACGGTATCACATCACTCAGAACGGTAGTACATCGTCAGAACATCGTCAGGACATCGTCAGAACATCGTCAGAACATCGGCGAAAAATTTAGCAACGGCAGCCGATGGTAGAATCTTTTGAACATGCTCAACATCTTCCGACGTTGCGCTCCCGGAGCGAGCAACGGGACAACAACGGCAGTACGGCATGGCTTAATGTCGGGAGAGTACCCTCTCTTCCATCAGTAGGACAACGGTAGAACAACGGTATCACGACGGCAGCGTCGGTACTACATCGGTATTGCTATGTTCAATTTTGAATTTTCAAGTGCTTTCTCGCCGGAGATCCGCCGATTTTCTCGCCATTGTTGTTTTTTTGTTCCGGTTTAGTCCCGGCGAGATACATCTGTAGTGTGTGACAGTCCTTTTAACCGTTGCTATGTATGATTATTAAACTGTTCTGTACAATGCATGATGTAATTATCCCCCGCCCAAACGAAGTTGGCGAGGGATATAGAAATGGGTTCCGTCCGTGCGTGTGTGCGTGTGTGCGTGTGTGCGTCCCGAAATCGTTTCCGGAGCATAACTCAGAAACCGTTCAATATTTTTTCATGAAACTTTGCTATTTAGAAGTTGAAGAAATTTGTATTTTTTACGTTTCCATGGGTTTGCCAAATGATAAGGGCGACGCCATGTTTGTTTATAAACACTAAAAGTAGTCCCTACTTGACCTTTGATACCTTGTGTTTATTCCTAATACAGGATATTTACCATCCCCAAACACACAAGCGTGATAACCTCTTTATCATAAAATGTAATTCATTAATTCTGTACTTCAAAATCGCTTTCCCTCACTCACAAACATTACCGAAACATTGCGAGTTTTCCTGGAATATTTATTACGTCCGAGGGTAAGTGATGTGTCAGTCGGACAGTGACAGTAGCCAATATAGTTCCAACTCAAATCTATTTTATACAGTGACGAAGCAACATAAACGCAAAACAAAAATTGTTTTTAATTGCCTTTCGCGGCAATCCATCTGTCTGTCCGCTAGAGTAACTGCCCTTTGTCAAAGGGAAGCTACTCTAACCATAGTCTATGAGACGTCACGGCCACGGTCAGACGTTGTTGACAGTCGGTCTGTCCTGTCATAACGTTAAGAAGTGTAGTCAGATGTACACACAGCGACAAAACGAAACAAGGTAACAATTCAAAAATATTTCGGGTAAATCCAACTTAACAGTTTATTTTAATTTGTGGAGAAGGTTTCAAGCCGCAGAGGTCTACAAGCACAGATATTGCTACTGATCCCGCTTTGCTAGGCCTAGTGCCCTCGCAAAATTGTTTCGAAATTTGTATCTCCAAAGTTGCCAAAACTTATAAAAGGGCTTATCTACGTCACAGTTAGACACTGATTTTCAGTATATTAGACTGTTCTTTTGATAATGATAGCAATTATCCCTGTAGTTTATCCAGATTCCCGATGGTTAATTCTGACTCGATCGCCGAATGACGAGGGCGACGCCATGTTTGTTTATAAACAGTGAAAGTAGTCCCTACTTGACCTTTGATATTTGCGTCTCTATCCGCATATGACCCCAAAGGATATCGTTTTTATCCGTTGGCTTTATCCTGTCGAGAAACCTACCCATTATATGATAAAAATTAGTATTTACCTCACAGAATCCAAAAGCATGTATAAATGACATATAAACTTATTTAGTTATCATGTCGGCACACACATTTTAAGTTTTGAATAACTCATAGCTACAACTAAAGTTCCTCTTATGTGTGATAAATGGGAAAATGAACTTAAAGCATTTTATGGAATAATGTTTTCACTAATTGTAACATGTGTGCCAATGATGTTAAACTAATAGATTTCCAATACAGATTCTTAAATAGAGATCTATATACCAAAAAGGAATCCTTGAAAAAGAACTTAGTTGGTTGGTTGTTTAACGCCGCACTCAGCAATATTCCATCTATATGACGGCGGTCTGTAAATAATCGAGTCTGGACCAGACAATCCAGTGATTAATATCACGAGCATCGATCCACGCATTTGGGATCGATGACATGCATCAACCAAGTCAGCGAGCCTGACCACCCGATCCCGTTAGTCGCCTTTAACGACAATCATAGTCACCTTTTACGGCAAGCATGGGTTGCTGAAGACGTAATCTACCCCGGGATCTTCACGGGTCGAAAGAACTTAATGGATGATGATATATGCTCTTTTTGTGTCTCTGAATCTGAAACCTCATACCATGTATATGTAGAATGCGATTTTTTAAAGGAATGTTGGTTAGAAATTGAAGTGAACATAAACTCAAAACTTGCTGCAACAAAAACAACTATCTTTTCAACCATATAATTTTTCTTGCAAAAAAAAAAATAATTCACCAGTCAAGCATTAAGAAAATGCCATTATGCTTTCCTTTCTTCATAACAATTTTGAAAGATATATGAAAAATAGAAAAAAATATCGCAATGTAAATAGTAGTATAAATAAATTCGACAGAAAATGGAATGAATTACCAGCCTACATAATATGATTTATCAACCCCATATATGTATATACCCATATCTGATCATGTTTTAAGATTCTATGAATTCCTGCACTTATATTCCTCAAGTACCAATGTTACATTTATGTCTATCTGAATTGAAATATTTTTAAATTTTTTTTTAAAAAGTATATGGAGTTTCGTAAAGCTGGATTGTATAGTGTTCGAGATTTGCTCCGGAAAACAAAATATTACAGACGGACATAATGAGGACTATATATCCCCGCGTCGTTATATGTCGGAGGATAAACATCAAGCCTGGCGTGTTTTCTTTATATGTAATGATGATCATCTTGATCAACATGACCATCATCATCAACAACATTGTCATCTCCAAGTTTATTATCCCCCGCCCCAAAGAAGTTGGCGGGGATACAGAAATGGGTTCCGTCCGTGTGTGCGTGCGTGTGTGTGTGTGCGTGTGTGCGTGTGTGCGTCCCGAAATCGTTTCCAGAGCATAACTCAGAAACCGTTAAATATTTCTCTACGAAACTTTGCATGTCTATCAGATTCATGCTGAACTGGTGCCTTTTGCTATTTAGGAATTAATAAAAAAAAAATTTTACGTTTCCATGGCAACAAGTTGGACTTAGGTTCTATAAGGGTGCTGTTCGTTTCCGGAGTGTAACTCAAAAACCGTTAAATAATTTCTTACAAAACTTTGCATGTTTACCAGACACATACTGAACGTGTGCCTTTTGCTATTTAGGAGTTTTATGAATATTTATGTTTTACGTTTCCATGACAACAAGTTGGATTGAAGTTTTAATATAGGATTGGTTTACTTAAGGAGTATAACAAATAAACTGTTAAATATTTCCTTGCCAAACATTGCATGTCTATATATAAAGCCCATACTGAACTAGTGCCATTTGATATTAAGGAGTTTTAGAAATGTTTATTTTAGAATTTCCATTGCAGCTATTTTGACATGGGCTAAGAGAAATGTTGGGTCAGTTACCTGGTTTGGGACCATAACGTGTTAAAATGGGCGGGGGATATAGATGACTTTGTCAACTATACGCTTGTTATTTTTGCTCTGCCGAATGCCGACATGATAATCTGTGAACCTTGGCACATTGTGTCGCTTGCGAAATTATACGCTTGTCGACATAATACGCCGGCGACAACATGTGCTGTGAACATTGTTTACCGCATACCGGGCGCATCTGTTGTAACAGGGTTGCTGAAAAGTGGGGCGCTCCTGAATCCCCCATTTTAAGTATGCTAATCATGTTGACGTTTCTTAACACATCATTATACATCTCCTTGCTATTTATTGTTTGTAAGTATATGGGTTTATATTTGTATCTTATAAAATAATAACACCCAATAACAAGTGTTTCTTAATGACAACCGTCTCTAATTCAGGAAACATAGATTTAAATATATAACGTAACGGCGGATGTGGCACAGCAAGTTGGTTATTTCTGACTGAGTTGATAAAACTGCAACCAGTCGGGCTTGAGTCGTTATTTGAGCCCAAACAACTGAATAGTCGTGCAACTGAACTGTATAACTGACCAACTCAGCAGAATAATAATTGGTCAGCTGACTTACTTATATAAGCAGCCTAATTGCTGACATAGTAAATGTCAAGTACTTATGAAAACAGCATAATTGCTGACAGCGACTGTCAAATTAATCAGAACTGACTAGCTCAGTAGAATTATGATCGGTCAGCTGCCTTTAAAAGCAGGCGGGCTGTGTTAACAAGGGAGAACCGGCAAACCATCGGAGGAGCGCAGTCACAGTAGTAGAGAGGAAAACCAGGGACAAGGAGAGACGAGCACTGACCAGCCAGTCCAGCCCTCAGCTGCCCAAGTGTCAACGTGACTTCGTGGTCTTCCTATGTTCGACTCTGTAACTATTGATTGCCCGGTTCTGTAGTTCTACTGTGTTAATTA